ATGCACGTGCCGATTGCGTTTATTGCTTAAGTTGTTCGCCTTCACTTTTCAGTGCAATCGGACCGCTTAATAGAACTCTGAAAGCTTTTCCAGAGGTTCTCCTCACGCTATTTCTCTTCCACGTTATTAAGTTGAAAATTGATAATTCGCGTAACAGGGGAGAACTGTTACGGAGCCGTTACGTTTTACGATCGCGAGGCTGTTACGACGTACCTAATTTAAAGAGCGCTCGTTCTGCGTTTTCAATGCTTACAAAGACTTCAGATTTTGTCGCGTTCCGTTTATTCCGTTCTTTTTACATAATCAATATCTGAAATGCGAGACCTTGAAAGAGCAGTTTTTTTTTTTAAGAGAGCTCTCTAAAAGTGAATCAGGGTATTATTACTGACTTTAGTGCTACACTTATAACTGTAATATCAGCGAATATTTACTGTTTTTCAGTAATAATACACTGATTCATTTTTAGAAGTTGTGATTCTACAGATTGATTCAGCAGAAAATCATAACCTCTAAAAGTGAATCAGTGTATTATTACTGGAAAACAGTAAATATTCGCTGATATTACATCAGTTATAAGTGTAGCACTGAAGTCAATAAAAATACCAACTGATTCACTTTTACAGAGAAGAGATCGGCATATAGGACGCGCGGTATTTAATATTTGACCTTTCGTTTTTGTCCACGCCACTGTGCTGATTCCGAGATTGAGTTTTAATCCTCAACCCCTAATGTATACAGGTATCGTCTCACGAGGGCTTTCGTTCATCGTCGAATAATCCCGCCCTTGTTCAAATAATCTGTACGCCGTTTCTTCCGGCTATGTTCTTCGACCGATATACCACCTGCGCCGATGGAGTTTACATAGCCACGTACAGGGTGTATCGAGCTTCGTTATTTTACTCGTTTATTTTAGGTTTACGAATTTCAGGGCAATTCTTACTTTGTAAAAGTTTCATCGATTTCTTGTTTTTTAAGATTGTGTGTGTTTATATTAAATATATTACATCTTTAATTACTTGAAGCAACTTAAAATTGGACAAGTAACTTTACTTCTTCATCTCCATCGTAAAAGAAAATTCAAGAGGACCATGTAAAACTCTGAACTTTTAAATTAAGAATCATTGCCTGTAATTGGGGATAATTAATTATCCCCAATAAAGTAATAAAGTAATATTATAAGACTTTAATATGCCTCCGTATATTATATGATATTAATCCTTAGGACGGAATCATTATGTTGGAATTCTATTATGAATATATAATATTATGATATTAATATTATTATTCCATATTTAATATCCATCAGATATCCCGATGGATATCCTTTATTTCTTCATAACTATGAAGAAATTTAACGTAAATCAATTTGTCAAGGAATCCGACATTTAAACCCAATTACTTGTATTTTATATTTTCCTCTCTCAGTTTTAATTACTTAAAAACGAATCGCAATCATGGAAATTTTATCGTTCACCCTATACATCTCATGGGGATGGCGATGGTAGTCTGCGTGGCGACGTCGAAGGTCGATACCGCGCTAGTCCACCGTCAACGGCTCCCATCGTGTCTCTCCCTTCGATAAATATGTAGAAGAGAGGTTCTCTCTCAAAGCAGTCGTCAAAAATGGGTAGGAAAGAAGAGGATCCTCGATAGCCTCTCCTACGAAGGACTCTCGCGAAATGATCAATAGGGAGAGAATCGTAATTTCCCTATCACGCGTCTCGTCGGGCATAAAATTGTAATTTCGCTCCGGCTAACAGCCAGATGACCTACGAGTTCTAATATCCGCTTGTAATGATCGCACGAGGATATCCTCCCACGAGCGACGAGACGCTGTTACACCGGTAATAGCATTTACCTTTACGATGCGGCGCGGGCGCTTCGCGGTGAAATTGTTTTGGAGATTGAAATCCCGTGCGCCGCTGGACCACGCTAGTTTAATCCGACAGCAAACATCCGCAGCGGCATTATTAATTCAACGGCTATGATAGATCGCTTGACGTTATTCGATCTTGAGATTTACGAGGGAGACCTGCATACAAAAGAGACGTCTAGTGCGAATCGTATTTATGAGGAACGGGTCCCAGGTACTATTTTCGCTGTTTAATACATTTTTTAGTATTTCTAGACGATAAGATTCGGAGAAGGGATTTTTTTACTTTCCCTATTCTTTTTTCTTCCAACAACAACTTTAATTGGAAGAAAAGTGCGATTACACAATGAATTATTTATAACGTTAACAGTTGATAATTCAGAGGCATTCTTCTGCCTTAATCACGAATATAATGGGGAATAGTGATTTTTTTTAGTACTCGTGAGGAAATTGTTTTGCAAATTGAAATTCTCAACGCCGGGGTCGTATTGATTTAACCCGATGGCAACTATCTTTACGGTGATATTATTAATTTACACGCGAATATCCATCGCTCGAACCTGATATACAGAGGAAGAGAGAAATCTTATACGAAATTCACTCGGTGGAAATGTAGAAATTATTTTTCTCCCCGAAAGGAGAAATGTTCTTCATCGGATTAGTCGAACATTGAAGGGATCATAAATGACCCGAGCTGTCTTATCCGCTCCAATTCCAAGTCGTCGATACAGTATTTTCACGTTCGCCATCCTGCGACGAAACTAAATTCGTTAGTCACGTCGCTGTCTTGAGAACCCCGGACTAAGACAAACACGGCGAGAAACTCGGCTCGACGTTCGCGTAGCCCCGCCAGTATCCGAAATCGCAATTTTCATGGTCCCGCACGAGATTTCTACGAGTCCAATATTGGGTTTCATGGACCCGCGAGACTCTCCTGAGCTTTCGAGGTACGAGCCCAGGTGCGCCATTTCTCAAGTAGAACACGGTCCGTCGTTCTCTCCGTCTCGCGTTATTGAAAAACTCGCGCCAGCTGCCGCTATCCTCAGTATCTAAATAATTCGTGCGTCACGTAATTATCGAAAGTGGTAGATACGGCCCCGCAATGTCGGAAAAATTAACACATGATTTTTATTACCATGTTACTAGAATCCGATAATTACGCGAAATAGTTCAAAATTATCTGTCTCAATCTTGCGAATTGTTTTGTATCATTAGTGTATCAATGGGATTCCATTATGCATTTTTATATAATTATATTTAACAGTCGTGAAGATAAACAATTTCTTAGTTACTCGTATACAATTCTGTGTTTACAAAAATTATTAGAAAAGAAAAATTCGAATTTCTTGTATAATTCCGAAAGTTATTTGTATTTTTATCCGTATTTTAACGAAATAATTTATTTTTCACGCTGAAACGTAATTTAAATATCAAACGGTATTATTAAAAGACTATTATGTGTCGCTGGATTTTATCTTTTAGAGAAACGTACGTCTTTGCTCTTTGAATCTCCTGATTCAATCTCGCAATTACATCTAACGCGATGTACTACGTCCTACATAGTTATATGGCGGCATTAGCATACTGATCTTAATTAGCAATTAATCTACTGGGATTCTGTACGTCCACAATGGAGTGGTATCGAATGCGATCCGAGAGGATCAAGCAGGGTTAAGGCGATTGCTTCCTCCTCGGCGAGGGCCAATCAAGCGGCTGATGCGGCTCGGGCGGTAGAGGGACATTCTATTTCAAACGAGAAGACGAGCATCTCCTATCGTTGATGGCTGCAACCGCGTCGAGAGCAGACGTGGCGATATCGAATATTCCGAGGGTGGGATAGAGAGAGAGGGATCGATATAGGTTGCCGCTACAGCAACAAGCTCGATATCGCTCGCATACGGTGCACGAGCACCATTTGCTCTACGCGAGTGGGTGTGCCAAAACATTGCCAAAACTCGCGCTCATCTCTATGAGAAACCCACGTGTTACTATACATACGTAGGCGTAACGCGGTTTAATATAAACGGATTGCACGACGCAATGTGCGCGAAGAACCAAACGCAGATTACGCGGAATGTGTCTCACCTCATCCGTCTTCCCTAAACAATTTAGTAATTCTATCGACTCTCTTGTTAGGAACTTGATCGAGACGCGTTGCGATGTCTCAAATGTAATTTTTATTTGTTAGAAAACGTTGCTCCAGAGCGAGTGGTGGCCTGGGAATAAACGTAAATAAAGTCCAAGAAGTCAATTTAAGACCATCGGGAATGGTCATCTTCTTTTTTACCTATACGATCACCTAGGGTATTTTTACATTCCAAAATTAAAAATCACTTTTATTAAAATTAAAAATTACAGTATACTGTATATTATTGATTGTTCCCAATTTATTAAGATTTAAGAAGACGGATATAGATTTACTTACAATTTTTTGAAAGAAGTAAATATAGAAACCAAACAAACGAATTAAGCATGTTAAATAGCCTATTACGACATCAATATTTCTACAAAATAAAGACGGTATTATAATTAATAAAATGATTTTTTTTACTTTAGATTTTCGATGAAATTGCATATTTAAAAGTTCGTAAAGGATAGTTATTAAAAAAGAAAGAAAATATGTTAAACAAAATCCATCTTACAATAATTTACATTTTTTTTGCTGGGATATAAAAATACTCCAGGTGACTATTCCCGGATTAAGCGAGACGTTTGTGATAAATTATACTTATTTCAGTACAAAAATTTTATATAGAACATACAAGTATCAATATTTATCTCCAACAATAGTCATCGTGCTAATCATCACAATTATATCGTTCTTAAATCTAAACTTTCAAAAGTTAAATTTTTTGTCTACTTAATAACAAAGTACGGTTGCAGCAACGCATATGTACGAGTTAAATGTAAATATACGAATATGAAGCTTTAAATTTCCTTTGTGTTTTCCTTGTATTTCCTCTGCTCGGCGATTCCCACCGGAAATTTGTCGAAACTGTCAGGAACGCCGGGATAAATGGCGACATTTGGCTCGCATCGTTTGTCTTCTCAGTGACCGCGTGGGATTACGCGACGTATCCGTCGAAGGTGATTATAGTCTCATCGACGAACTGTCGTTCTGTTGCAGGCTCGAGCACACATAAAAACGACGCGACAGGAAATGGAAGGCCAGCTCCCCTTTTGGCTGAGCCAAGATACGGCGCCGCGCCGCAACCGTATGGTGAGTACCTGTCTGTCTATTTGTCCGTCTGTCCCATCCAACCATCCCGTCTGTTCGTACCTAATGACCAAATTAAGCTCACCGGTTCGGAAAATAGATCGCTCGGGCCATTGCAGGTTTTTCGCGAACACATGTAAAGAATGAGAGCGGATTAATGGAGGGCCGACGAAGTGCGGACCGACAACGCAACGCTGTTACTGAGAAGAAAAAGAAATATGTTTGGCGCATTTATTTGCAGCACATGGAAGGACAAATTTATCTCGGCGGACCTTTCTTGCGGGAAATACGCATTGAAGTTATCACGAAAATTATTCACTTTCTACGCACACACAAGGAAAGATTTTAATTTCGTAAATCGAAGAAATTTTGCTACGGCATTTTCTTCGTAGAACAGCCAAAATGCACGTAGAACTTGTTATTTCAACAGAAGTTAAATGTTAATAAAGGGCCAAGTGCAAACATACCTACCACATTTCTCAGAGGAATTCTGCGAATTCGCTTGTAATCCAAGTAGCATTCATAACGACAGCATATGCAATGCAAATTCGGTGGCTTTAATTACGACGATGAATAGGCTGAGCAGAAAATTGAAAGAACTGCCGTTCTTACGAAATGCACGTATTTCAACCGAAAAATGGTTTAGAAAATGTTCATCGAAAAATGTGTAAAAAATTTTTACACAAAAAATCTTTCGAAAATGTTTATAAAAAAAATTATAAAATATAAAAAATTAAATGGAATTACGTGTATTTAAAAAATTGTTCCTATTTAAGGGTTAAAATTCGAGAATTTGCACGTATAAGATTTGAAATCTAAAAATCAGAGGATTTCACAAAAATAGTTTCTCATCTTTTGCTACTGCAACAATTATAATTACGAGATGTAAATTTGCACATCTCGTAATATCATAAAATAGAGATTAACATCCATAAAAAAAGGGCTCTTGTCTCAAACATATGAGATAGATTTAATAATGCAAAAACGAAATTGTCACATAAGTGACACGTGACGCTGTTGCTGCATCGACCTGCATTCGAACTGTTGCAGCCGGCGCGGTGGTGGCGACGGACTGCAATCTTCCGTAGACGGCGTCTAAACTGTTGAGCACCTAATATTGGCCTCGGGAAAATAATTCCTCTTCGATACAGCACGGTCTAATACTATCGTCGTAAGTCAACGCCGGGTGACCGCGATCCCGTTGCGATTTTGACAGGAAATCGATGAACCGTACGTAACATAGCGAGCCTGCAATCGAAACCGCTCTATGAGCCTCTCGTTGCACGATAGTTGTAATCCGATAGTGGAAAACATTATCGTAACTCACCGCCGCGTAGCAACATACTTTTCCCAATAGTCCTCCAACATTCTGAATCGACACCATTTGTCGCAACATTTAATACCCGGCTACACGCGGCCGACAAAGCGTTGCATTACCATTCCAATGGAGCTGTCAGCTCAAATTACTCGACTTAAAGGTTGAATTGTTCAGTTTGGTTTTCTTCTGGCTCTGTCTATTTTGTATTATTATATTTTATTCGCTTTCTTTCTGTGAAACATAGATTTTCAAACTCTACGAATTTATGAATATTTTCCGGAGAGCAAATTCTCACCAAAGACTTTTCCCATTTAAAACACTAGTGCTGGATTAAATTAATGCTTTGTATTTGTATTAAGGTCAGTTTTTTAAAAAGCATTAGTTTAACCAAACACTATAGTTTTTTTAAAAGGGAAAAATCTTTGGCGAGAATCTGTTCTCGAAAAATTATTCATAAATTTGTACAATTCGAAAATCTATATTTCATTGAAAAAAAGCGAATAAAATACAATAATACAAAACAGATAGAAAATAAATAGAAAATAGATTTTTAGATATAGAATACTAGTCTGTTTTTTAAATCTTACTACAGCTTTTTGTTGAGTAAGATTTATTATGTGTGTGTGTGATTCATTATTTTATTGTATTCTTTGCCTCAAAATATGAATGTTCAGAGAAATAGTTTCTTCTTTCATCGTTTTAGCGCCACTAGTGGCTTTACCCCCATCCTAGAAAATTTAATAAATTACTCAATATTCATATAAACCATAAAGCATCGTTTTTCAAAGACTCAAGTAAAGCAGAGAAAAAGTAAATTGACTCTGTTCGTTATAATTCATATATCAAATACCGGAGTTATTATGAATTAAGCAACCGTGTCACGTTCTCGAGCAAGGTCGTACGTGTACCCAATATGAAATTCGCGAAACATCCTCGCGACGTGCCGATTTCGCCGAATGCGCGTGTCCGTCACGGTTGACGATGAATAACCACCGACAGTGGTACTTTGCGCGCGTCATTTATCTCGCTCGTCCGCATCTGTAGTTTGGTGTGCATCTGCGGTTTCAGGCTCCACGCCGCAGGTCACCTTCCCGCCGGGTGCCGGTCACGATCGTTACGAGGAGAACTTCAACGGACCGGCGACGTATGCGGAGCCATACGTCGAGCGCTACGGTATCAAGAGTGATTTCAGTGGCCGTGAGCCGTTACATCCCACACCACCTCGGCCGGGTTATGTGCCCACCTTGGGCCAAACGCCGCCCTCCAGCACGCAAGGCTCGGTCATGATGGTGTATGGACTACAACCGGACAAAGTCAATACCGACAAGCTCTTCAACCTGTTCTGCCTGTACGGCAATGTGACGAAGGTACGTGGCGGATCTTCAGCTCCCTTGTCTCCCCGTATTACCAACTCTCCCTCGAACCTTTGTGTTCGACGCCCATAGTGTTTAGAGCGTTAAATGGAACGACCTGGTAGGACCGAACAAAAGGGTCGCATGACTTAATTATCGCTACAGTACTTCGCGTTAACACGATAGAACCATTGACGTCCCTTACACGACACCGTACCTGCGTTTAACGACGACCAACAGATTCCGGTTTCCATGTACGTTTATACATTTAACAAGGATTAGCGAGAGAGCGCATGTGTTTATATTTAACAAGAGCCAAATTTCCGCGCACTGCTGTACGGATCATAAATGGTCCCTTCATTAAACACATAGCTTTTGATTAAACATTGAGAATGATTTAAATGTTGAATAATATACTCTCACCGATTAATTATTATTGAAGCTGTCAGAAAATTTATGTAAATTGCACGACGGACATTGAATTCTTTTAAGGCTACACAATCGATTACTTTGACCTATTCGTAGTCGGTTCTTACATTTAACTCTTCGGTATCGCACTACGGAAATGACACACTTGGATATGATGTACCCAACCCAATTCGATTGCTTTTATAAAAATGAATCTATTTTAAACCATTCTTTTTTTCAATTGAAACGTCAAAATTAAGGACATTAAAAAAAACAATACAAAATTAATGTATCTTCGTTAATAAAAAAGTTATAAGTAATTATGGAAAAGCATTGGAAAAAGTATTAGAAAAAAAGAAATATGTCATATCCAGAGAGGCACCGAAGGGGATTAAAACCATCATGATATTTTAAGTACAGTCTTAAGATATCATAAACTAATCCTAGACCTATATTAACTCCTTAAAATATTACTTGAGGCTATGACACACAAAAAACTAAAACAGTAAGAGCAGTAAATAAATTAATATTTTGAATTTGCTACTACTTACTTTATTGCCTAACGTCTCTATTGCGATTGGTCGATTCACTTACTGCTTACGTCTTACTGTCTTATGTTTCTGTATACCATAGCTTTAATGTCTTGAAATAAGAGCCAATTATGAATACTGGTCTCTAATTCTCTAATAAATTATCATTAAAGGGTGCGTTCAAGGAGATTCTATTAGCATATTTGTATCATTCTATTCTACGTCTAATGAACGTAAAAATAGAATGACACAAATAGCGCTAATAGCATCTCCCAAAGAACACACCCAAAGAATCGATCGCATTTGTCATTTCACACATTCCGTGAGCGCTGTATGCCTTCTGTTAACTTCGAACCGTAAACTTCAAGCTCTCTGTCTCTTTATCGCAGGTTAAATTTTTGAAAACAAAGGAGGGCTGCGCGATGATACAAATGGGAGACAGCATAGCCGTAGAACGATGTCTGCAGAACCTGAACAACGTCACGATCGGGACGGACGGCAGGCTGCAGCTTGGTTTCTCAAAGCAGGCCTTCCTCTCGGACGTAACCAACCCTTACATTCTACCCGACAAGACAGCAAGCTTCAAGGACTTCACAGGAAGCAAGAATAACAGGTGAGTCCTTACGCGCGCGTCAACTCTTTACTTCGTATTTTTATCCTCCTGTCGTTTTTCGCTCAACTCGCCCGCATCCGCACGTTGAAGATCATTTGTCTCCGCTTGATCTTTCTCCCATTCTCCATCGCGTTATTTTCTCGCCTTTATATGTATATATGGGGCGCGAGAAGAGTATATATAAATTTCTGTCGTGAAGATGCACGTTCAAGTTTTCTCGACAACTGTTCCTTTCCTCGCCATTTAATCGCACATTTCATTTGCGAACTCGCGCGGGTAAAACGATTCATCGCGGCTTCGTATTTAACGCCTCGCCTACGATGCATCGAGAGAAATTATTTTGTTACAAGCGTCAGTAATTGATAAAACTTTCGCTAAACCTTTTGCACCTAAAAATAAAAGTAATTATAAATAAAGCAATGTGTTTAAATCAAAAGTTTTTATGAACTATTACGCCACGAGTTGTCGCTTTTTATTTAAAACATGGAATAAAATATGCAAATAATAAAGTAGGAATGTATAGTATATTTATTGAAAATAAGAGATACTGTGATATTAGCCAATTTTGAAAAATACTTAGGGGGTTATGCTCATGTTGACTTTTCATCAGGACAGTGTCTACAGGATATCAAATTTTCAGTCAATTCCGCCGAAATTCAATAAGAATTGTCCTTTCTATTAGATTCTCTTTAAGCAACAAATGTATTAAGCTTCAAAAAACATCCCTCTTACTTTGTTTCATATTACAGGCAATGAAATGTATCGAAATACCTTTTTCGCTCCCTGCCTTGCAAGATTAGGTTCCTGTCAGACATACCGATAGGTATATAATAAATTGACGTGTCTACCCTCCACATTGAAGTCATCGATCTTAGAAAGTACGGGTGTCTCGATAATGTGGTCCTCCTTTATCGACCTATTCCCACCGTCGTCCCTCGCACCGCGGTTCTTATGGGACAGTAGAACGGTAACGAAGAATACGCGTACGGCGCGATCTGGCAAATTGCGACGGCACTCTGCGAGATTAAACTCGGGAGACTAATTAAATGAGGACACGTAAACGAGCGCGATTTAAATCTCTCTCCGCTCCGGGTAAACGCTGAAAATCTCCATGGTCCCCTTCTAGTTGGAATCGTACGGCCTTGTCCCCAGTCACGCTCCGGGATGCGGACGCGCTCGAGCGGAAGAATCAAATCTAAAGGTTGAATAGGAGCTAACGACACCGCCGCGCGATTTCATGTCTGGACCAGCGTGCCACTGACCGCCCATCGGTCGCTCAAAAGGGCGTGCCTGATGATATCCGGTTCGCCGATTAAGTTCCAACTCTTCCGATTGTACTGCAAGGATTATGGAAAGTGCGCGGAAACGTCTCTGACGAAGTTTTCGTTTGTGCGTAAAAATCGCGTAGTCAGGAAAGAGAAATTTGGTTTGTTGTGTATATATTTGAAAAAAAAAAAACGACGAGTATAAAAGTGATACAACAAGATCGAATTAAACAATACAAATTCTTATATCTTTAAGGCTTTAATAAATATAAATTTAGTAACACTATTAAATATATATATATATATATATATCAACAAATACATATCAATAGTGATATAAACTATATTATATGTTAAAGTAATACAATTAAAGCAAACGTTCAACCTTTAATAAAAACCGGATTAATTAACAGCTGGTTTTATAAAAGAACGATCTCCTTTCTTACTTGATATCCATTGTTCAAGAATACCCAAGTATTGCTCGACAATAGAACGTTGTAGTGAAGGCGTTAGTGCTGCAAGCAATTTATTTAAATTAAAATTTTCAAAATTTCCCCGTGGATTCTCTTTTCCCTCCCTTTTATTTTAAAATTTTCTACTTTCAACTTATCGTTAAGTCTTGGCACCTCATTTATTTAAGGTGATCCTGAAAGAGCTTATTTAAATTTCGCACAAGCATGTCCCACGGCAAAGTAATTCATTAAACTGAATAATTTAACAAAGTGAGAAAACACACTTTCGCGTGATACATGTTTTTAAGAAGTAAAGTCGCAGGGAAAAACGCGCTCTTCCGGCGAAACGTTTTGAACCGATGAAAAACTTAATCACCCGTAGGGAAGCCGAGTCCTCGCCTTGGGCGCGTGAGCTCTGATTGCAAGAAGTCAATCACAAAAAGTTTCCCAAAGCTCGCGAAAGACAAACTATGCGCCAGAAATGTTCTCCGTAGGACATTTTCCTCATCTGTTGTGGAAATCCGCTTTCCTTCACGTAATTGAGGGCCTAGGACTGTAAGCTGACATTTTTGTTGAGAATAAGACGGCGATATTGCACGCAACGTAAAAGAGAGCAATTCCACATCGTCGGAGCCAGGCATATTCCCCTCGAGGCTTCATCAAAGCTGTCCGCGAAGAGAGAAGGAATAAAGAACAACGTTACGATATTCTTTAATTTTCTTCCGATAATACTTCTTTGTGTTTCGGAATGATGAAACTGTCCGTTTGCAGCTTTTTGCAAGTCTCGTAATACTCTGATATATATATATATATATATGTATATATATTTAGTTTAAAACTCTTTGAATGATGAAATACCATTGCCGCTTAAAAGTTGTGAGCACTCTGTAATATTTAAATAAAATCATGATTCTTTACGGATATAATATATTTATCGAAAATATTAATTTTTATTCTTGAAAGAAAATTTAATTAATTTTATTTAATAATATTGTAAATGTATAAAGTTTTATATTGTTTTAATATTAAATTTTATTTTGTATATTAATAAAATTTATAATTGAAAAAGTACAAATTTTTGTAAATTCTAAAAAGAAAGTTTAATTAACTTTATTAATACTTTTTTTTATTAATACTGCAAATGAACAAAAGTTTATATTGTTTCAGTCATAAACTTTTGTACATTGATAATATTAATACAATAAATGAAATTGATTAAACTTTCTTTTTAGAATTTAGAGATACTCCAAATTTAGTGTATCTACCCATCCAATCATCGTAAAAATTGAACGAAAATATTAAATGCGTTTGTTATTCTCTTTTTTAAAAAGAGAACTGATGAACGAATCGACTGACATATTGGCTATGATGATAATTTTTTTTATTCAGTTTTTATTAACGATATTTTCAATTTACAGAACCTACAAAAAAAGATTTGCAACTCAGAAATTCAATAAGTTATGAAATGTTGACAATATATTATCCTGAAATATAACACGCTATTTTTTTGTTGTTTAAATTCACGTTAAAAAGATTACAATTTCTGAAACTGACCCTACTTTATATACATGTTTTTTAATTTTTTAAACAATTGATAAGTTTTCTAATATTCTTGAGGCTTCCACATGTGCTTTCTATATAAAGATTATGCGTTTTGTGGGTTTTCTACGTGTCCAGATCCATTCTTGGAATGCCAACGTTTCGTGAACCTTGCAGTCCACTTCATCAGAGTTCACGAAACGTTGGCATTCCAAGAATGGATCTGGACACGAAGAAAATCCGCGAAACGCATAATCTTTATAAGTTTTCTAAATAAATTAAAATAAATAATTAAAATAAATAAATTCAATAGACAGTTGATAAATTTTTTAATACCAAATAAAAAATAGATAAATTTCGTTAAAAAAAATTTTTTCTATGTAATAAAATTTTATTTTATTTTCTTTTATTAGTGAATAATAAAACAAAAACGAAAAATAGGCCAACTTTCAAGGATTTATTTTATCTGTTTATATATACATAGAATGCATTCGGTAGCCAAGAAAATAGCCCATAAAATCAGGATATCTTCTATGTATTTCCAAAGATATGTAATTTTTTGAATTTCCAAGGATCTTTTTTTGTTAGTCTAGAAATATCAGCCAAAAAAATACGTATAGTTTCTCGCACACGTAATTGTGAATAGAAAAATGCTAAATATATGTTACGAACAAACGTAATTATTCGATATATGCTTTTTTCACTGAAGCCTACTACAATATCCGATTTTCAATGTATCGTTGCAGATTCCTGAATCCCGCGATGGCCAATAAGAACAGAATACAACCACCATCGAAGATAGTTCACTTCTTCAACACTCCACCGGATCTAACCGAGGAAACAGTGAATCGCGTGTTTGTAGAGCGCGGCATCGAAGCGCCGACGACGATCAAATTGTTCCCTCTCAAGTCTGAACGATCGTCGTCCGGTCTAATCGAGTTCAGCAGTGTCGGTATCGCGGTGGCCGCTATCATGGAATGCAATCACACGGCGCTCGAGAACAGCAGTAAGTATCGACATACGATCGCGCACAATCGTAAAACTTAGATTTCTCTCTCGCAGCGTTTCTTGGCGAGATAGTGATCATGAGAATTTTACGCGATTATGATATCCTGCAGTTGGTCTCGATGCGACTTTATCGCTTACTCGTCCGATTTGGATTCGGATTTCACTTCCCTCGTTCAGGTTTACGATTCTCTTCGTGCCATAGAAATTCGTTTATCTTCCATTTATACTTCTCTTTCACGATTTTTGACACGATCGTTTTTATATCAAAAAGTAAAACTAAGGGAACGGATTACTGTGGACATAAAAGTTGTCGAAACGTTCAGAAGGGATATCGATAAGTATTTGATTTTAAGAAAATTTTTTATATGTATCAGTTTTTATTGTTGTCGAAATGTTTAACTCTCTAATCAATCTCTTAGAAAAATAAACGGAACGATAGTCAAGATTATCAGCAACATCGTAATAATTAATGAATAGGGTCGCAAAACATAGTTCATCTAAAGCTCTGATTTTCTCCAATAATCCTACTAGATAGCGAAAGCTGTGAAACTCCAGGAACTTGAAAGGAACGTCGTTCGACACGAGCGATCTTGTCGACTCGACAGTATCCCTTCGCTAGCGAGTTCGGCAGCAAGATATTACAAGGCGGTCCCCTCGCCGTGCTTATCTGTTACAGACGGCAAGTTCCCATACATCATGAAGCTCTGTTTCTCGTCGTCGCGCACCATACCCACGAGCTTCCCACCCAGCAGCGGCAGCGTGTCGAGCAATTCCGCTGGCAATGGCCACGCCAAAATGCAGCAGGACTCGGAATAGAACGGCGAGGTCCAGGGCCAGCAGCGTCAGCGTCAGCGCCAGCGCCCCTCACTCGCCGCCCTGCACCCGTTGTGTGCCCCCGCGACGGCGGGCACGGCCCTGCACCCC